GGGGAAAAAAGAAATTAATAAAGAAAAACAAAACAATATTATTCAGAGAATAACACATAATAAATACAAAATTATTAATAAAACTAGTTTTAGAAAACAAAGAATATTAAATTTGTATCTACCTTAAACCCATGTTTTGCATCATAGGGCTGTTTGAGGTATACAGGAGCAGGCCATGTCCATTTTGAGAACACTAGGAAGAATTTTTCAACTAGGGTAGAAGCTGTAGCATTGGGATACAGCTGACATGTTCTTGCTACAAGCATAGCCCATGACACACCACCAAGATACCCGAGAACGTTGCTGTATACACCATGACCTGTTGGTTATAACAGTAAATAAACTAGAATTTTTAAATATAAATTTCCCTCAAATAAAGCCTTTTTATCAAATTACAATCTGAATTTTCAATATAAAATTAAAGCTGCTTGCTCACGTTTTGCCCACAATTTTATTGCTCGTAACGCCAATCTGAAACTCTCTCTATTTGGGACTTGGCGCAGAATCTCATCTGTGACTCTGCAACCATTGAGACTCCTGACACACTTCTCATCCAGGTTTTTGAGAATGCTGTCATCATTGAGGTCAACCGAGTCATGCACCTCTTTCAAAGCTAACCGTGCGAAGAGCAAATCAATCTCGATGTTCTCGTATTTCATTTTGATAACAGGGACGAAGGCCTCTTCAACTGCCTATCAGGTTTCAAAAAGAAAAAAAATAGTTATTACTTTTTTATCATGATTGCTAAATATAAGTCAAAAGAAAAGAAAAAGAAAAAGAAGAAGAAAAAAAAAAATAGATATACTTTATTAAAACACATACTTCAAATTACCAGGAATATATTATTATAACAAAGACAAATCTGTTAGACCAAAGTAAACAAAATCAATTTTTCCATACTTACTCTCATCTCTGTCACTTCACTCTGTTCCTTAAGCAGTTCATAAAAACTTGTAAAGTAATCTTGCCGTTCAATGTGTCTTGGGGCAACGCAAAGGGCGTCAATATCAGCACCTTTCCCTGCAACACCTAATCGGTAGGAACCAAAAGTGCAGATTTTACCACCAACTGTGTCTGCTATCTGTAACCAAGACATAGAGGAATATTAAAGTCTGTATGATAAAATCCGAAAAAAATATAAATTAAGCTACTATTTTGAATTAGAGCAATTTGCTCAAAATATCAAGATCAACTTTGAGAATATTACTGCTATTAACCCACTAAGGCCGGTAGATTTTGAAGCCAACAATAAAAGTTTCCGTGCGGCTATAAAATCAGCGTGCGGGGCTGGCCCGGACTCTGCCCGCGTGCCGGCCACAGCCTGCTGCTGAGTCAGAGCGTGAGCCCCAATACAGTGTCACACCAGCGGGACGCCCGGTAATTTTTTTTTCTTGGTGTCTAATATGTGGGACACCCATCGCAAATGGGTTAAGCCTTTTTCCAAATCCTATGAAGAGTGTGAAGGTAATGTGTTTTCCATTTCCTCTAAAATGACTACTCTCCCTAAATATTACCCATAGAGACAGACACAGACTAATACACATTCCTTACAAAATTATTTTGGGCAAGTTACTTACTTGTGGGGGCATGTTCTTGACATTTATGCTTACATCTCGAATCCATGCTTTTACAAGATTGTTCAGCTTTCCTAGGACTTCAAATCTGCAACATAAGACAGCAATTACAAGCAACTGTAGCCAAGAACATGAAAAGCAGTATTAGCTTCCAAGTATGTATTTCTTCAATCTTAACATTCTACTCCTAACAAAACAAAATAATATTCTTTTATATCAACACTATCTATACAGTTCATTACAAAACTTCATAAAACATATATCTGCCATCATTAAAATTCTCATGAAATCAAGATTTCATAAATCTTACTCCATCAACAGGTTAATCATGCTTGTAGTTGCTCAACCTTCTTTGACTCACCTGTGATTTAGTTCGGCATCAGTCTCGAACATACCCGCATCTCTTAAATACTCCTCAAGTTCCCTTGTATGCTCTAAGTCAGACGCCTTGGGTTTTGCCAGGCTGATCGCCGACGTCATTCCTAAGGTCTTGCTTGCATCCATCTTGCCTGAGGATACAAAACAAAACTTTAGGACTCAATATGCAATTCTCAATGTAATAGTGGTAACTATCTATGCTAATGCACAAAACTTAAATTTTCCTTCAGTAAATGATCAAGTTAACATTTTCTATGCATCATGAAAAAGCTTATAAAGTCACACAAACCCTTTTAGTAGTAAACTTGGAGAAGTGAAATCATGTTCTCTATTTCTTCTACATTTCAGATACCAAGGTGGAGTTACATAAATAAATATCTTCTTGATAAACACATACCTCTGGTTGACATTAGAATGACTCACTTAAATATTATGAGTATAAACATCATTTATACCTTTTCACCTACAAATCTATCACTTTCTCATTATCATCATACCCACCCTTAACATTATGTATGTATGTATATACAGCTACACAGAGAAGTATCATTAGAAGGGATGTTGAAACATTCAATATCAAACAGAACCATGCTATGGCAGGGTTGGTACTTTAGGTTTCGTTCTAATTCATATCTTGAAAAGTCATTCTGGATTTCACATGGATTTACTGTTAGATAATGATCCTATTCCCATAAGGAATGGAATATGCCTTGCAATATTCAGATAAACCACACATACCCAAAAATAGTTAGAAAATCAGGAATACCAACAGTTTTCAGTAGTAGCTTACAGCTTCAGCAAGGGCAGAACTATGAAAGACAATTCTGACCTGTTTCTTGAAAGTACTCATAATGAAGCTTCTTTATATGAATATATAGCATCATCTATGCAAACATTTATATGTAATAATAGCTCACATTATAATATCTTGTACACCTCTCAGTAAACATCTAAAATGAATAAATAATCACCATCACAAAAATAGTTAATACTGAAAATGTAGAGATTTTCCTCTTTATCTTAACCAGGCCTTACTGGGAATGGTGTGCGTTCGTTCTCACACCCCTTAGCGCATGCCTCCCTTTTCCTAGAAGTCTGATTTCTTGCACACTTTGATCTTGAATAGCAAACTATCTCTACTGTGAATTAAACTTTTGAAACTCAAATAATTTAGCCTTCAATGATCATCTTCAGCCTCAGTTTCAAGGTGTTGTGTGGTTACCAAACACAGAACAGCTGTTTGCGCCAAGAAAGGGAAGGACGAAGCTGGATCATCGTCAAAAGATCATCCAGGCAGTTCTTTTCAATCAATATACAGTTGATTTTACAAGCTTTTCAACTGAATGCCATCACATGCCTGGAATGCTCAAGGAGTGTGATTTACCACACACCTGCAAATTTTTTCCCAGTAAGGCCTGCTTAACTGTCTATAACTATTATTAATATATCACAGAAACCCCTTCAGACAGCAGAAACTAGGTAAAAGTAAGTGTTAACCAAATCCCACCAAGAGTATGTTAGGTCCACTGATTTTTTTTGTTAAATGTCTATACAGGACAACTCTATAAGTGCTCAGCCACCAAGGAGTCCATTAGCAGACCTATACAACTTCACTTGATTTCCTTCCCTTATTTTTTTCTTTTTCTTTTATTTATGATATCTAATTTTGGTGACATGACCATCATGTCATGATGGGAACAAACCTTAAAAAAAAATCTGTCTGAATGACCTGCCTCAGGTGCACAATAATCTTTTAAGATGATAAAAGTCAAGAGGGTATTTAGCAAAAGGGCTCTTGCCTTATTTCCACCAGTAAATGGATATGGAATGTACCATCTGTGAACCCAAGCTTAAAGGGTGCTGACTCCAGGAAGGACACTACTTCCATGCTAAGGATCTATTCCTGTCTACCTTGACCAGTGACACAGAGTGTGCCACAGAAAAATGAATAATAAAAAATAGGGCATAACAAATGACAAACATGGATCTTGGAAAATGGCAAAACAGCAAAAAACACAGGCAAAAAAGACATAACAACATAATAGATATGCACGTGATTGTTTGTGTGGACTGCGCCTATACACCCAGGGGAGTCTCCAGGATTTTGATCCATATGTGGGCTAAATCCACCATATTAATATCAATGTTGCTATCACTAATGACATTTTAATTACGATATTGCTATTAACAATACTAATAGGCATATAAATCAAAAGAGAATATTTCTGGAAATCAAGGAGAAGGGAAAGCAGGTGAGATAGGGAGGACCAGTAATTGACTCCATTTAAGCGTGTAGTCCTCTATGTCAAAACAAAATTAACACCTTTGGTCTGGATGACACGACCATATCAAGAAAAAATTCAGCCTGAGGGGTGGGTGATATGAGCCTGCCATTATAACAAAAAATGACAGCTAGTCATGTGATATGAACATGCCATCATGAGCAAAGACCGGAATGATAGATAAGACTCATCATTGAGTGCGCAAACCACTGGGAGGGTAATTAAGACTCATTTAGTGTTTAGAAAGGGGTTTTAGCATTATTCCCATTGATAAACGAGTGTGGAATGTATTGTCTATGAGCCAGGACTGGAAGAGTGCTGGCTCCAGGGAGGACGTCATTTCCAAGTACAGCATCCTATTCCTGGACGATGAGATAGGCAGCACAGAATGTATTACAGAAAATTCAATATCATGGGAAAAAAATTAAAAAACAAAAATACATTTTTTTCTTGCACTGAAGCCTAAAGCCTAAAGCATTTTGGTCCATGTGATTGCCATGAATCAACTGGATCCAAGGGGTTAATGAGACAAATTCACAATCTGCATGGCATGTACATACGTGCCATCCCCATCAACAATGGGTTGAGTTGTAAACATATCCACACTTCAATTTTCAAATACAGGACCCTAACTTCTACAAACTAATATCATAAATGCTTAAAGCAGTAATGAATACTTCTTCACCCAAACTGTGTAATTTCCTTGTCAAGAGATCTGACTTAATAAGCTCTGAGATGATTTCTGGTTATAAAAGGTTTCCTAGTAATGAACACTTCCGCATACTTAACTTGTACATTATTAAAAACAAATACAATAACAAGTACACAAAGATAGAAATGCTGCCACAATATGATCTGAAAATGAACGTAACATTTCAAACTCATCAAGAGTTCCACTTCAGACAAAACAAATATCAAAGACGATACTGAATGGTATCCATTTCATTTTTGTGCTTTGTCTACTGAGGAGCTCTAGACAAGTGCTAAACATTACATTTATATTCAGTTCAAATTGGCATATGTAATGCAGTGAATATCATACCTCTTTTCTAAACCAGTCAAGATCTAGTGTATAGTACTATTAACTCTTTGAAGTATTTTATTTATTTAGTTAGTATATTACATATTCATATATGCATGTACCTGATAAGTGCAATAGATATTATTTCACATGTCCTTGGTAACTTTTCAAATGTATTTGAACAATACATTTTTTTTTTCAATTGGAAGAAAGTTAACAAAGTCTTTCAGCAATAAGACATAACATATCCCGGTTAAAACATAAATGTCAGCAATTAGGACTTACAAATCTAAAACTGTAACCTTGTACTGTCTTCCACAATGGAAGGAAATTCATTCAAAGGTACTATTGTGGGGAAACTCACAACCAACATTTCAAAACATTTGACTGCACTTAATGCAAACATATTTCAGGGATATATATACTTCATGCTAACACCTGAATTTCCTCTGATCAGATTATGCTGAATCTAAAAATAGAAATAATGATGTTGAAAGAACCAAAAGATCAATTATTTACCTAGTTAAAAAAAAGTCAAGTTACTCGAGTAAAAAATCCAAAGTACAAAAAACATGAATTACCCAACTTTATTATTTTGTCTGTGGCATACACAATTTTTAGAAAATGAAGGTAAAAGGAGGCTTTAGTCATACTTTTGAGCAGCTGTATCACCAGCAAATTAGAAGGTAACAATAATAGTTCACCCATGACCAGCTGTTTCAATAGAAAATTGTTTCATCTAATGTAGGTCATGGAATTTTCATTATAGAAATCATTGATCACCTCTGCACAAATTTCTTGTTTTAAACACCAGTAATAAAGGATATATCAGATGCATAATCAAATAATATTTCAAATTGATAACAAATATATTAAAAGTTTGAAAATCAGCTGCACTGAGTTAATAGATATAAATTGTGACCAAAGAATTGAAAAAAATGAGCTTGTGGTCTAGGGAAATTACACTGAACAAGAAGATGGTAGCAACACTTTTTATCTACTTAATTTCTGAATTGATCTTGTGCAATAAATAAAACAGAAGGCCTGCATGTAAACAAAAACTATTATCATAAAATGTTTCACTTCGTCTCTTACAGTAATCTCCTTTATGTGATTATATTTAGCCATCTAAAATAATGCAATATGTATGAAGGTGCTTGTATGATACTTTGGATCAATCTTGTACACATTACACACTATTTAGCAGTAACACTTTTTTTTCAACATAAAACTTAAAAAAAGGTTCAAGTTGGAGTGATACTAAATTTGAGGTTACTAAATTACTTTGTTTTAACTATATTAGGACTCTGATTCACAAGTACTTCAAAACAAAGACAAGACTCAATGGGCTTTTATAATGTAAAGCAAATGGTATCATAGACACCAAAAGCCATACATCTGAGAGTCGCCACTCAGCCTACTGCCACTACTTTGAACCATGTATGGGTCAAGAGACACCTGGATCCAACAGGCTGACTTCTGTTTATCAAAACCTGGTGAATAACCCTGAACTGAAATATTTACCTTGTTTATTTTTCATTATGTTTGGTAAAGGCTAAAGTTTAGATTCAAGCCACACATTATTGCTCCCAATTTATGTGTTTTTTGTTTATGTACACAATGCTACTTTTATCTCATCCCTTTTTGGGCTTTTCTTATTACAAAGGCCCTCATTTCTTGATATACACATATTAAGAGACACTTGTGACATCTTAACCCACCCCGCCGCCGGGGTACATTTTGTAGCCCAAATTAAAAAAATCCGGGAAGCTACAAAATCGGCGGGCGGAGCTTCCCCGGAGTCTGTCCGCCCGCCGGGCCGCCCGCCCTTTTGCCGCGGAGCACGGCTCCGAGACAGCATCGCACTGTTTTATTTTTCCTTGTGTCTCATATATGTGACACCCGGACAGATGGGTTTCTTGTTACAAAGGCCCTCATTTCTTGATATACACATATTAAGAGACACTTGTGACATCTTAAACAGAGAGCCAAAAGAGCATCCTGCTACTGCTAGCCAATCAAGCTTTCACGCATCACAGCCAACAGTGAGCAACTGATAAGCGAGGTGCATGCCTGGCTCTTCGTCTAACAGTGTGCCTAATGTTTCTGAATGTAAGCGATAGACATCTGGATTGATAAAAGCATGCTTGAGTTTATTCTCACCACCCAAATTGCAATGTGATTGTCACAGACGTCAAGGTAATTCAATACAAAATATTCTTTGGATCGAATTTTGAAGCTGAATCCCTGAACTTTAGCACAATGCGCTTAAACAGCTTATCAAGTAAAAGGAATGACTAAAGTTACAAAGTAATCTAAATCTGGAATGAAACTGTTCATATATACAGAGTGCAAAGGTTCTTGGTTATAACTTTTGTGAAAAATGGTTTAGGTAAAACTGAAGACAGGTTAGTTAATCTATATTAAGCTCCTTATTTGGTATTTTAAAGAGGTACTAACTATGAATCCATAAAAAAATAACGTAATATCTATAAGAGGTCTTTCTTTCAGTATTCTATATCAAACACATTACTGTGTTATTCTCTTGCACGGAAAGTGCACGGAAAGGTCAAAAAGAATTTTATGCATGGAAGATGATTTTTAAAAGTTACCTGAGAACTCCATTTGCGCAGACAGAATTTGAGTGAATAATTTTTGCACGGGGAGTGCTGACCAAAGTCTACAGTCTGGACTATAATGAGCACAACAATAGCCTTGACATTTAGCACTCCAGCAGAAGTCAACAAACCTATGCCATGTTTGGCAAGTTCGGGTTTAAACTGGGTCCTTGTTCAACAAATCACCTGACTGGTCTCCAATACATATGGTGTAGGTTTGCTCACCTTTCCTAGAGCACAGAGTACAAAGGCCACAGAAATACTAATAAACAAGTTTAATGAATGAATATAGTCACAGTTTTACTCCACAATAATAGGACTCAAAATCAGAATCTAAATCTGAACTCTAACATCTCATAGCGACATGGATATTCATTTTGTGGAAGCAGCCAATTATCTATTTTGCCAGAATATCTTTTGTCGATGCTTGTTTGCTTCACATTCTGCTGAAATGATGACTTGATAATGAAACTAAATTGAAAGTTGTGCCTCACAAAGGAAATTCTTCACTTGCATTTAGTAATGATAATAAACGACTCAAAATAAACTAATAAAGTAGTATCCATTACTTTCAGTCAAATACCAAAAATTAAAGTTGCATCTTTTTCTAAAAATACCCTTCACATTTCCTGAACTCTTTACCAGGTAAATGTATGAGAACACAATAACAAAAATACATACACTTTTATCAACAGAAATAGATAAGAAATATATCTACTGATAAAACTCACGAGTATTTGTATGACGAAATATGGACAATATGCATCCTAGACAGAGGAAATCCCAAGAACCATCCAGGAAAACAAAGGAAAGAGGAAAAAGTTTGTAAAACCCTTGCACAAGGTCTTAGAATACAATAAAATACCTTAGAAAATATATCCCGATAAAGGATAATAGACTAATACTAAACTTACCTCACTAGTCCGCCACAAGACGGAAATTACACCTCACATATAACGAAAAACGTACGGATGAATCACAATCACATTACACTCATTCTTTCTTTCACTCACTCTTTCTCTCTTTTCTTTCACGTTCTTTTGTTTTCTTTACCTTATTCCTCGTTCTCTCTCTCTTTCAACGTGGAGATGGCATAAGGGAAGACCAAAAAAGAGCAGCAAAAGAAAGGCACAAACTCCGCAGATTCTCATAAAATTTTCACATAAAACACAGGAAATCCTTCTTAAAACTCGTCATATTGGGTCTCACGATCAAAGCGACACAAAACTCTTTGTTCTCACCCAAAAACTACATAAACGGAAGGGGTGGGGCAACTTAAAATAAAGGTTTTTCCTCAGAAATGTCGGTCTAGTAAACAAAGCTTCTCAATAACAACAACAATGGCGGAGCGGCGTGTGCGGTGACGTCACGACCTTCACGTTTTTTGGAGGAACTCGGGTCCATCACGTTTTCTGTGGACGAGGCCTTTTGCAGCCGGGACTCGGGTAAAAGCATTTTCAAGCGGGAACTAGGGTAAGGATTCCTAAACTCTCCTTCCAGCACCCCAGTGGGATGCGAGTTGCCACTTCATGGGGTATGACAAATGTATATTTTATTTTTTGTTATCCCATTGGCAGTGTTAAGTGGATTTGTTCATTTTACGGGATATTTGCAGTGAGCAACATACAAATGTATATAACGTCTTTGAAAAAAATCGCAACTGCAGTTACCAGAAATTTCTTTTAACATATCCAATATGAAAACGACTGCCTTAGTAAAGTTAGCATGACACATATTCTTTGAGATAAGAAAATTCATTTAATCAGTGTAGTATATCATGCTGATTAGTAGTCCTATATTGTTGACTTAGGGTCGAAGGCTGCAGTATATTTTAATTCAAATATAGTGTAAACAGTCATAATCGGTTTCATTACATTATTCGCATGATATAATTAATTTTCTTCATATTCAACACCACGCTTCTTTCTAAAATCTATTTGTCTTAGCCCTGACCTCATATGACCCGGATCATACCTAGTGAGGTCCGGACCCAACAAGAACGACCCTTTTACACGGCCAATGTCACACGGACCCAAATGCTCTAATACCTAAGATTTTTTGGCTCCGCGATCAGGTCAGGTCAAACTCACACTTCTGTAGGTCAAATTGAAATAGAATAGAGTAGAA